AAGACTATTGTTATTTCATTTTTATGCATATATTTTTTTTGTTATGCATATATTTTTTGTCGTTTTCTAAGGTTTTTATGTTCCATAAGCACACAAACTCGATCAAAATTGCGTCTGACAAAAAGTGCTAAGTTTTTGTTGGTACTTTTCTGTTTTACGATATCTACAAATGAGACCACGACCAACGCTATGCCCTTTGCGCATCCCCCGGCTGAGTTTTCCTGTCTTGGTTTACATTATCATATRGGCATAAATCGAATTTATTATTTTTAGTTTTGATGGTCTTTGACTTATTGTGACATCATTATTTAAATCGTTTTATGCGATAATTTGCCATTCGAACATCTGTAAAGCATTCTCTAATTGAATTAAGCACATACATCCTTTTTGCGACAAGCAAATATCGCRCGGAAATTGCATCAGTGCAATCAATCGGGCTCACCACTATTACATACGAGTCTAGGAGCGCACTTCACATCAGAAACACACCGTTAGAAGATCAGACATCAGATATGGATAGAGAATCTGTACGCTGATACTATTCAAAACACTGAGTCTGCATGAATCGTCCAAAATAGATTTGATAAATTAATAATTGCAAGATAAAGGCATATGAGTTAACAATAGTAACGTGTTAATTGTGCGCAGTTTCATGTCCATACAACTCACTCACTAGAGTCAAATAACCTCAAATGCAGAAGGTTATTTGTTTGTGGTCCTTGTGGGAAAACATCAATTGATGTAAATCGGCATCAATAAAATGACTGTATTCAAGAAATCTTTGGGTTTTTTTTGTCTTTTTGAGAACCAATTATCCATGTCTAGAAAAATAACTTTGACCAATTAAAATCGTCCGTTATAATGTGATGGTAATGACGCTTAACACACCCCTTGACCAATRACATTAAAACTATTAAAAACAATAGTCGAATACACTTCAATAAGGCAAACTTTATAATCTGCATTCACAAACAGCAACTAATATATTAATGCAAAAAAGTAGAAAGTCTGGACCCCGTTTTGAACAATCATAGATCCTTAGCCAATAGATTGTTGCGGCTGTAGTTGATAGTTCTACTTTGTAATATTCCTACCCCCAGGTCTTAATTTCAAGGCATTAGTATAGGAAATKAAATCCCACGACCTTTAGTACAATTTGGAATTAATCGTCGCGAGTAATCAGTTTTGAAAGTTCTTGCGGGTGCAATTTGAGACCTTACAAAATTGAATATTACTCGTAAGTATTAATTTCGAATTGTTCGAGAGGTTTTGCTCGAGAGCCAGTATTTCTTTGAAGTTTGTTTTCATTCTATAAATTTTGTTGACCTAATTTTACAGCTTTTTAGCAGCGAATCWAAAAGCGACAGCACCACTTTGATGCTTTTTAATTAGCTAGATTCAAAGGTTCTCAAAAAATGCAGTTTTTTCATCGCGACATAATTGGTAATAAGGAGTTCAATTGACGCWGTGTAATGGTACTCCTCTMGACCAATGAAAAAGTATTAATTTGTTGAATGTACTATACTGAACCATATTTCATGATATCACGGTATAAACCAACGATGTATTAGATTTCTCCATTTTTTAAAGAATTTCTTTATTTAACGTTGTTTTGAGTTTATTTTTTATAAATGTAACAAAAGAATCAATCAAGACTATTTTTTCATCTAATTGTTGATTTCTGAATTCAATTCACCATTCGGTGTAAAGTTTTYGTATTTATTAAATTGTGAACTGTTTCAAAAACAGGCGACTGAAAGACAAAATACACGCGGTGAAGAGGTGTCTACAAAGAAAGATAAATCAAGACCGCGAGCCTGTTAATTCGGGTAAATAAAAGTCGCGAATTATGTCCGAGACTTCTTTACATTCTTTATGTTGACATTCTTTTTCTTGTTTATTGTAACCAAWGGTCTGCAACGGTATCTTAATAAAAATCTGTAATGTTTCCGACAATGAAATGTTTGTATCCGACGAAATACCGCTTCCCGAGTATCAATATACAACATGTAGGCTAAAATCTTATTTTTTTTCTATTTTTTCACTTAACCAAAGCGATTCTTTGTCAAGTAATTCCTTCTCAGCCTATTGTTAGAGAGGACAATACGGGCCTTGACATTAAAACAGGTTTCAAAGACTGCCATCGTTCACAAATTAATCCGTAAAATGAATTGCTTGCATTCTTTCCCGCTTTGGTCAATGTTGCTTCTCGTCTTGAATGGTTTTCCAATTTTTATYATATGGTAACATAGTTCAGYACCAATTCAACATTTCATGTTTTTCTYCTGCACGGTCAGATTTGTTTGAATAGGTCTAAGTATTTAAGGTATAATTAGGTTKTCACCAAAGGAACTATAAATCTATACAATCATAATTCTATGAGCACAATCCATTTTACAAAGAATTAAAATTCTCTCTTTGTTGAGCTCTAACCGCCATCTTGGAATCCCATGGTGACTTGTAAACAGCTTGCGTTGGCGTCGTAGGGATTGTTAAGAACCCAACAAAAAGCTGAGTTAAAACGCTCAAAACATTACAAGTACCACCACTATATAGAGCAGCCGGTCTTTCTTTGGTAATGAGAGTGCTTTGACTTCCGGATATGAGTGTTAAGTTTGATAACGGTCACAGGAGATCAGCGGTATCATATTGATGATGACATCATATCACCACCATCGTCATCATAATCATTTTA